ATTGGTCCTCCGTTTCAGAAAGTACGAGGGTACTGGCAACAGCAAACCTAGAACCCAGCGAACCTAGAACCCAGAGAGCAGCACAAACGTTGAGGACAAGACCTTGTCTGCAGGGAGCGCAGCGGTATGAACGGTCATGTAAATACTCTGCCCTGGTGACATGGGTTAGTGCTTCCAGACGGTGACACAGAATTACCTCTCAGAGTACCTCGGCAGGCAGAAAGATGACCCGGTGTACAACCCTTGGTCTAGAAAAGACCTACTGGGTCGCAAGAGAAGGTGGAGACCACCTTGCTGAAGTAGTCAGCAGGATGGGACCCACAAGGTGCTGTCAACGGCTTCAAGGCACACTGACCACACCTGCTCCTGACCACATGGGGGGGGCCAAGCCCCCATCTAAACAGCACCCACCTCCCACACCCTTCCATGGCAGCCAGGCAAGGAAGGCAAGAGGCTCTCCTAGATCTCACAGAAGTAATCTAGGCTGTGTTTTGACTCAAAACAAAGAAACTTTTAAAAAACATTTCAGTTGAATCTTGCATAATTCTTCCAAACTAGAAACCTTCCCCCAACTTTCGCAATCCTTAGAAAGAGGCACTGTTGCAGAGTCCAGCCCCAGCCATGGCCACCTCACCTCCTGCCAGACAGCAGGGGCAGGCCAGCCTCTGAACCGCAGCCTCCCTCCTGGGGCTGCAGAGACAGCAACTCAGACCTGGCCCAGGGGGGCCCCACCCGGCTCCAGAGCAGGGCTGGGTTCACACTTGGCCCAGACTTCCTCACCCTCTACATCCTGTCTGCCCTTAGACACTTCAGACAGACATTACACAAACCGACTACAGGGAGGTTGAGAAATGCTGAGAGTCAATGACCTTACTCTCAGAAGCTTCTTCATGACCCAGGGCCTCCAGTGGGCAGCCAGGGACAGAGGGGAGGGCGACTCTACGACCCTGCTTCCTCCAGATGGTGAGGGACCCAGATGGCTCCCACAGAAGCCCCAGAAGGTAGCAGGACAGATGCACAGATAGGCTGAAAGCCTATGCTAGGAGAACTTAGCCCTCTCAAAAGGTGGATGTGCACTCATGACCCCCACCCACAGCTGGCTATGGTGTGAAAACCTAGAGTCCACTCTCAAGTTGCTGTCCCACCCTATCCAGACCCACTGCCATGGTCGAGACCCACCACCTGGGCAGCCATCCCAAAGAGACCTCCTAGACCAGGACCTGACCTCAGGGCCTGGCACCCCACCTTCCTGGCCAAATTGTCTGGAGGGGAAAATCAATAGTAACTCCAAGAAAGCCCAGTACAGGACGTGATGCCAGTGGACAAAGGGCAGCTGATCTTTGGAAGCGCACCCAGACTGCAGGTGTGCATCCAGCAGACAGGGCCCCAGCACAGTGACATTGTCCTCTCCTATAGCCACCTTCACATAAGGACAAACCACAGCTGACACAGTGGTACACAAATGTGATCCCACCGCTCAGAGGCAAGACCCTATATGCCAAGAAAACCAAAGGAGCAAAGTATAACCCACTGAAAGAGCTCCTGAACCCAGCACCCAGCTCTGCACCCAAAACCTGTAACCAAGTCCCAAAACATACCCAGGGCTCAGTGCTCGCCAGAAGCTGACCACCTAGCAAGGTGTCCAGTTAAGAACGTGACCTCTGGACAGTAGAGGGGTATGTCTTTAATCCCAGCACTTGGAAGACAGAGACAGGTGGATCTCCGAGTTTGAGGCCAACCTGGTCTACAGAGCGAGTTCCAGGACAGCGAGGGCTACACAGAAAAACCAGCAGGGGGCCGGGCCGGGCAGGGCCGATGACTAGCCAAGAAACATGATCTCAGTTCTATCTTCCCACTATGAGGAATTCCAACAGTCCACATAAAGTGATGACATCAGCTGACAGAAGAAAGTCCTGAGAACTCAGACTCAGAAGCGAACAGAGATGCCTCAACCTAAGGATAACCCAAGCATCTTCACACCAAATCCCCCTTCTCAGATCCACAGATGGGGACTTGCTCTGGCCAAAGGGGGGCACTGCAGCACCTGTGGCAGCCTGGAAAGGCAGTGCCCCAGGGTTACAGATCTTTCTATGGACCAGCAGCCTCATCCCTCAAAGCACACAAAGTGGCAACTCAGAGGTTCCCACTTGACTGTGCCTACCCCAGAAGTATACTTCTAGAACAGGTTCAAAATAGTGTTAGTCTCACTTTGCATGAGGAAAATGAGACACGGAGGGAGGAGATAAGCAGTTTGCTCAAGCTTGCAGTACCAGTGAAGAACAGAGTGGGAATGTAAGACCAACTCCATGAGGCTCTGCAGCAGAGCTGGCTCTCTACAGCTGTCTGCAAGGACAGCAGCCAAGGGCCTCTCGGACTCACTGAGCATCCAGGCAGCCTGAGTCTTCTTCAAAGCTATACCGCGGGAAGCTGGGCCTGGCAGTCCCAAAAGAGAAGCAGACTTTCCCCATTCCCCATGGCATTAGGAGGGCATTGCCACCACACCACCACACCAGCCTCCGTACCGTCATAGCATGCTGACATGCCAAGGCCTAGGGTACAGCGGCCCGCACCAAGGTTTTCAGGCTCAGAGCTGAAACTGCCTTACTCTCTCACACACTCAGCTGACCACAGAAACCACAACTCCACCTCAGCCAGGCCAATCCCACCTGATCCAAGCAGACCCTACCTCAACCAGACTGTAGCCACCTCGGTCAGGCTGCCACAGAACACAGCAGCCAAATGTCACCAGAGCATCGAGAACGCAGGAAAACCACTGACCTCTACACCTTCCCACCACGGGCTTGAGGACCCACCCCTTCCCACAAAGCACTCAGCTCGCCCTCAGTTCAAGAAGAGTCCAAAGGCCCTGTCGAAGTGGCACACCTTCCCCTCAGTACATCCATCAAAAATGTTAAAACAAGCTCTGAAGGGAGTAAGGGAATCACACCGTCCAGGACACTCACCCCTCTCAGGACGAGCTAAGTCTGGGCAGTTATGGGCCCATAACTACGGGGACCGACATTCCCTTCCTGGTGTTTGTTACCAGTGGTTCACGCAGATAAGCACAAGGCAGTCCAATGAGGGCTGAAAGCAGCCCAAACCCTCAACTACAGACTCACAGACCCAGTGGAGTGTCAACACTGATGGCTGGGCTGGGGTCACCCCACAAAGAGCAAACAGCCTCACTAGGAGCTGGCCAAAGTATAGGAACCCAAACTGATGCTACCGCCGCTCCAGTGGTGCTGGAGACACAAATCACTTGAGAAATGTCTCTTCACTAAGTAAATGAGGCGTCAGACCATTGCCAGGGTGGCTATCAAGGGAAAGGCAGCGACAAACCACGGCGGAAATGACCCAAGCACATGACCACGGCTCAGCGCACTATCCTGTCTTCTAAGCCCGTAGTGCTGGCACAGGCATCTGAGCCCAAAGACCCCACACCAGAACCAGCTGCTTGTAAACAGAGAAGGCGGGAGACTACTCCATTCAGCAGTGGCCGGGACAAAGGGACCATGGCAGTCCCCTAAACCTAGACAGAAAGACCACAAACAGACATAGGCACACCCAACCCAGACAAGATTCCTTGCCTGCTCCCAAGATAAGAGGTGTGAAGACTTCCCAGCCGCACAGGTGCACTAGTCCCTCATCTCTACAGTGGTCCCAGCAAGTCCACCAGTCACCATACAAATGACGACCTCAGGCCACATTGGCCGACAAGGGTGCAGACAGCCCAGACAGATAGGCCTCCACTGGCAGGACCCACATCAGCCTGCCTACTGACAAGACCATTTGAAAAGACCTGCCTGCAACCTCAGGCAATGATGCATTGCCCTGGCTGGGGCATAAGTACCATAGGACACACAGCATATGCACACCCTCTGCAGCCCCTAAAGAACAAGGCAACGGTCCTTCTTCAGAACCCCTTCCCCCCACGATTCTGACACTCTGCTGGAGGGGCGCCCAGAGAAAACCGGGCTGCAGCATCTATTCACAGATTTAGAAAAAAAAAAAAAAGTTTGATGCAATAGCTGAATTAATTAGGTCTCCCAAGAATAGCTGAGCCAATGCAGCATTCTGTGTGTGCAATTTAATAAGCACAGATATTTAAAAGTTACAGGTACTTAGGATGCATATGCAAAGAAACTTCCTGCGGACCCCAGTGAAAGTTTTTGGTACTAAGTGGCCCAGGAAATGCCCAAGAAGACCCCACAAAGCCTCTGACTCACACACTCACACACACACACACACACACACACACACACACACACACACACCACAGTCTGGGCTGACAGGTCTCCAAACCAAGTGCAAGAGCAACAGAAGGAAATGGGTGAGTCCAAATAAACTGCAGACCATCAGCAACTCTGAGATGCAGGACTCTGCTACCACTGACCAGGCCAAGTGGCCCTCGAGGAGCACAAACAGGAGATTCTAGGGGCTGCAAGTGCCAAGTCTCTGCCAAGACAACTAGCCAGCTTCATTTTAGCGTCTGTGCCCCATGAACAAGTGAGCCAGTAAACATACAAGGTGAATCAATCGGCTGAGGACAACAGGAAGACATCCCTGTCATCAGAAAGAAAGGGGGCAAACTTCAATCTCATCTGGACACCTCTGCCAAGGTCCCATGAAGATCTAGGCCAGAAAGCCACAGCCTGAGTTCTTTTTCTCCAAGCAGTCTGACCCTCCCAGAGCTTGAGGTAGCCTCTTTCTCAGACCTTCTGAGCTGAGCCTATGTGGTCAAGGGTTATGTGCCCTGAGAGGGCTTTTCCATTCACTCCACTTCATGAGTACAGTGCTCAGACTGCACGAAGATGGCCTTGCGGCCTTACCCACAGGAGACTGACAAGGCCCCTAATTTCCTGAAATCAAAACAACCCAAGGCCAGATAAGGTCGATCCAGGAGCCCCAACATTCAGAACCCAGAGTGCCCAGCCCAGAAGGACCGCCCCCTCCCCTCCTTGGACATGGCTTGCCAACCCCCAAGACCTGGGGACACTTACCCGGGGCACCCTCCGCTTGTACTTGTTGGCATAGTCGAACTTCTCCTTCACGTCGTCCAGGCAGCGGCCAAGGCGGGCCTGCTCCTCCTTGCCTGTGTAGTCCTGGCTCAGCAGGATGTAGGCCCGCCAGTTGGCTGAGTCGAAGCCCCAGTGGCAGGTCCGGTTCTCCAGGGCCTTGTGCGAGTGTACCACGAACTTGTGCGGCGGGTACATGAGGCGGCAGTCCAGGCACTGGATGCAGGCGGCGCTAGGACTGCTGTACAGCTCGGGCACCAGCAGCCCCTTGCACTTGCCGAAGCACTCGTGGTACACACGGACGCTGCGCTCGCTGAGCTCCAGGCCCAGCGCTAGGCTGGCCGCCAGTTCCTTCTTGCAAGGCGGCGGGTAGGCGCCGCCGTAGAGCAGCGCGTTGCACAGGCGCTCGGCGTCCGTCTTGGTGATGAGCCCGCACGAGGGCGCGGAGAAGGGCAGGATGCCCATGACTTTGAGGATCTCCAGCTGGTCGGCGGTGCAGCGCGAGCAGTAGATGTGCAGCTCATCGCACACTGAGTTGATCTGCTGCAGTGAGAAGTCGCGCAGCACCGAGTTGAGGATCTGCGGCAGGCATAGACGCTTCTCGCCTCCCACTACGAAACAAGAGATGGTCTCCCCTTCCAGCACGGTCTCACAGCGCTCGGTGGAGCGATCCGACGGCATGAAGAAGGGCCCGGGCAGTACGGGCGGCGGCGGCTGGATGGCAGGCAGGTGCAGCACGGGCGGCGGCTCCGCGGCAGTGGGCACCGGCGCCGGCACTGTGGCCGCGCCCGCCTCCTTGGCGCTCTCCTTCTTGTAGGCCTCCTGCGCCCAGCGCGCCGAGAAAGCAGCCGGGCCGCCCAGCGAGCTCATGGAGCTCAGGTGGAACTGCTCCAACGTCTTCTGCAGCCCCGGGTGCGGCTGGAAGCCGCCCCGGCCGGCCGCCGCCGCTTCCATGGTACGATCGGGCTCCGCGGGCCGCTCCCGTGCGCCCGGGCCCCCACGGCCTCCGCCGCCGCCCCGTGCACCCCGCCGCCGACCGCGACCGCGGCCCCGACCGCCCCCCGTCGCCGGCTCACGGCCGATCACGGCCCCGGCCTCGGCCTCGCCCGGGGGCGCGAAGGCGAAGGCGGGCGGGGCGAAGGGGTCCCGCCGCTGGAGCCCGCCGCCACCCGGGCCCGGCGCCACATCCACGCGCCCCGCGCCGCGCCCGCCGCCGCCGCCCGGGCCCCCCGCGCGCCCCCCGCGCGCCCCCCGGGCTCTAGGCGCGGGGCATGCCCCGGCGCGCGCCGCCAACGCCAACGCCAACGCTCGCGGGCCCGGGGCTCGCGGGGGGCGCGCGGGCAGGTGCCGGCGCCGCGAGGCGCGAATCGCCGCGGCGGCCGAGGCCGAGGGGCCCGGGAGGAGCGGGGGCGCGGGCGCGGGGCCCGCCGGGCCGTCCTCGCGCGGCGCGCCGCCGCTGCCCCGCTCCTCCCACCGCGCGGCGCCCGCTCGGCTCGTCCCGGCGGTGCTGGCCGGCCGCGTCGCGCCCGCCGCCGGCCCCTGGCCGCCTGCCCGCCCGCCGGCTCCCGGCCGCCCGCCTGCCCGCGCGCGCGGCTCCCGGGGCGGCGGAGGCGCCTCTGGCCCGCGGCCTCAGAGCGCGGCGGCGGCGCGGGGCTCGGCGCGCTCGGCGCACATCTTTCGGGCGGCTCGCTCCGGCTCGGACTGAGCGCCGGGAGCTGAGCTCACGCCGCCGCGCGCCGCCCCGCCCCGTACCGCCCCGCCCCGCCCGCGCCGGCCCCGCCTCCCGCGTTGTTTGTTGCTGTGCGTCCGCCTCAGCCCGAGTGCGGGCCAGGAATGTGACCAGCTCCGGGCCGGCTCTTCCAAGAACGCGCGCTCCCCCTCCCGGGCTCGGTGGCGCTCGGCTCCGCCCGGCCCGTACTCGGCCAAGCTCGGGTCCGTCCGCCCACAGTTCGACTCCGCTCGGGTCCCCAGGGCCGGAGCTCGGCTCCGCTCGGCACCGCTCGGCAGCGCTCGGCTCTACTCGGTCCCGCTCGGCCCCGCCTTGTAAAGGCCGCTGGAGGCGGCCGCAGCGGAGGCGCCTGGGGCCCCCCTTCCGGCCGAGGCCGCTTCCTGCGCGGCTGGGAAGTCTCCGGTCCTGCTGCCACCACGGTCTTGGGGCCCCGAAACCCACAAGGCCCCTGCCACAACCGCAGGCCAGCTGAGTGGCGGTCCGCAGTAGATCTGCGCCGCTGCCGCCTTACGTCCCGGGGTCCCCATTCCTACCGAGATAACTGCGAAATAGCCTCCACTCCCCATACTGCTGGGCGTAGTTCTCTACAGGACAGGGACGCCACGAGACACCCCAGAGGTGCACTCTTAAAAAGAACAAAACAAAACAAACCCCAGGTGTCCTCGTGCCAAGGGTACCACAAAACATTGGGGTCTGGATACAAGGGCGTCTCAAAGCACCCTAGGGTCTCCACACGACCAAAGTTCCTGTCCCCACATGATAAGGGCACCACAACATGCATTTCAGGTTCCTGCATAAGGACACCACAAAATACTCAGGACAGGCTGTCCTTATGATGAGAAGATACCACCAAAAAAAAAAAAAAAATTCCAGGTGCCCACACAACCAATATCTCGCAAAGAGCCACCCAAGGTTTCTGCCTGCCCAAAGCACATCTGGGTTTCTGTATGTAGTACTGATGCCACCTAATATACAGCGCTCCACACCCAAGCGCCACACAGCTGGAAATGCAGAACCTAGAAGCTCACAGCATGCATGGTCTAGGGATCCTGAGATGCAGAAGAGGCACAGCTGTGGGAAGTCCCCGTGTCACCGGCAGGCAACATCGACTATCCCTGGAACTGTGGCAACCACTAGTAGTTGCTCCTGTCTCCTGGACTCTGTGTTGTGAGATGGGGATTTTGGGACACACTTCTGCATTGGAGAAGCTGTGCCTAGCAGCTATTACCTCTTCTTGAGCCACCCATTAGCCAGTAGCTCCGGCAGCAGATCGCTGTGACTCTGGGGATGGCGGCTGCTGATGACCTTTACCCTTCAGTTTCCAGAACTGAGAACTAAATACCCATCTGTACATCAGGTATCCAGATTATGGCCGGAGTAAGACATCACTCCCTGCCCTTCCATGAATTGGCTGTACAATGGGATCAAAGTAGGGCAGTCTTTTGCAAAGCGACACCCAAAGTAGCTAACATAGAGCAGAAGGCCCGGCACAGGGATTCAAAACCAGAGCCTGGAGGACAGTGTAAGTCAAGAGGTGGGAAATTCCACCACCACCATCCCCAAGACCCGGACCTCAAAATGGCCAGGACACAGGCTTTTCCTGGATGGCGAAGATGAGAAGACCACGTACAGGGCAACCTGGGTTACCTTCAGCTTGTGGCCTGTTTCTCCTCCACTGGGTAAGACCAGAACAGGCACAAACCAGCACTCCTTGACACAGCTCCTACCCTGGGGCCGGCCAGGCAAGTCTCAGCTGCCCCTATCTCAAGGCAGGACTTGATATTCTAACAGCAGCGCTCCCTGTCTGAAAACCAGATAGTCCCCAGTGTGGAGACGCTCCTGAGTTCCCTACATTTGCCCACAGTGCCCAGGGGATCAGCCTTCCCCCTTAGCACAATCTTAGAGAAGGCTGACTTCATCCACAGTGGAGAACCCCTGCTTTTAGTTATCTCTTCTGTCAACACATAAGACAACTGGTAAGGGATTGGCAGGGTAGCTCAGCAGGTAACTGGTTGCCCCCCAAACCTGACTAACTGAAAGTCAGTAAGAGAAAAATGGCTCCTATAATTTACCTGCTGACTTTCATACATGCACTGTGGCATGAGCCTCCCTGCTGCTCAAAAAAAAATTTTTTTTTTTATAATGTAGTAAAATTGTTTTTTTTTTTTAAGACAGCTGATTATTCCTTAAGGGAATATTTTAAAAATCAAAAGAGATTTAGTTGTATCCCTGGAGATAGCTTTGTCTACCTTTGAGAGAGTGACTTTTTGGATATGATTGTATTCCATACAGTTCAGGCAAATTGTATCCAAAGAAGATGGTTTAGACAGCCCTTGAATGAGCTAACCCTGGTCCTTTAATTCTAGCACTTAGGAGGCAGATCTCTGTGAGTTCCAGATTAGCCTGATCTACATAATGACCAGGAAAAAAAAAAAAGGCAAGGAAATTATGCTGTTTATCTTAGAGGGGCCCTGGACACCAGTCTCAGTGGTCAGCGCTCTCAAAGATGCTACACGCATTGCACAGCTATCTCGATGCAAGGCCAAAGCCAGGGACTAGCACTGGCCTAGTGAGCAGCCATGGCCAGGTGGTGCAGTATAAAGGTACTTGTCCATAAAGGGCATATCAGAAGGAGGTGTTGGGTAAAGAACCCTAGGAAGCAAGGAGGGCTTCAGGCTGGCTTCTGCGGCTTCTGATCTCAGTGGCCTCAAACGCTTCCCTCTGTTCAAGATGATGGAACTTCTGATGCCACAGGGTCAGGGCAGCTGTGACAGACAGCGCCCAATGCTCTCCCTGAACCCAGTGGAGAGTTTCCACCTGCTAGCTTCCTTCCTTCAACCCCCCCCACCCCCCCACACACACACAGCTGTTCTGGCCCATTACACAGTCATGCTATGGGCCAGGCCAGCATATGGGTAAATGGAGCATCAAGGCCACGGACACAGGCATGTTGGGTGAAGGGTTGGAGGTTGGTGCCTGCCTAGAGGACCACCAGCATGCAAGCAGTGGCGAGGACCAATTGCACCAGGCCCATCCAGCTCAAACTAGTGATTTTTTTTTTTTGTACAGCTGGTCAAACGCCAACTCTCTTCCAGATGCACACACTCCCTGATCATCCTGGAGTGTCAGCTAGGGCCCGAGACTGGATGGGAAGGAGACCACGTTCTGACCTGAGTGGCTTCCTTCCATTATTTTGTGAGAGACTAACAATGGAGTGACCAAACTGCTCAGACACTGGGCCCCGAGGAACAGAGGTGGGGATGGGACTGGGTTTAAACAGAGAAGACTTCCCAGGGGGTGGATTCCTGGGAGTGAGAAGCAAGCAGCTTGGAGACTGGCTGACAACTGTAGGATCAGAGAGTCCCAATGTGCTCCTATTCTAAGGGGATTTAGACCCAGCAGGGGAACGAATGCCCTGTGAGAGGCCGGCCAACAGCCCCAAAGACACCTTCCCATTCAAAACCCAGATCTTCAGGGCAGGGCAAAGTTCCTGGCCCTGACCCCACCACCCCTCCTCGGGATGGGAAAAGATCTGTAGCACCCTGGCATAATTGTTACCATTTCAAAACCTTGAATGTGAGACCATGTATGGTGGCTCTCAAACTTAATCCTAGCACTTGGGAGCTTGAGAGTTGAAGACCCACTAGTTAACTGAGATTTGGACTAGCATAGGGTCTACAGAGGAAGATTCTGCCTCCAAACAAACAGATAAAATCATTCAATGTGAAGAAAAAAAAATTAGTAACGGGAGTGAAAGACTTCTGTCTTAGATTAGGCTTCACTAAACACAGACCCAAGATAGATTCAGGCTCTTCTGTGGCGGCACACTCCTTTAATCCCAGCACTCAGGAGGCAGAGGTAGGTGGATCTCTGAGTTACAGAATGTGCTGTAGGACAGCCAGGGCTACACAGAGAAACCCTGTCTCAAAAAAAAAAAAAAAAAAAAAAAAAAAAAAAAAGGACAAATTTGAGGTCCAGGATTCAAGGTTGTTAGGGACAAAAAGAGCCAGGCCACAGGGACTATGGAGCAAAGCTTTTAGCCTATTAGACAACAGCAGCAGAATCCTCAACTGCAAAGGATTTAGAGCCATCTGGGGGACAAAGACCCAAGGTTGAGGGACATGCCCAGGACCAGGACCAGAGAGACTAAATCTGTCCTGCCAATGCAAGATGAGAACCAAAGGGGGGGAGGGAAGAGTAATTTCCCAGTAGAGACTCTGAAAGTTTCTTTCTTAACTGAGCCACCAGAGTGGATCCTGGAAGTAACAGGGTTCATGACATCCTTGCCCCAATGTCACAGATAGGCATTATTCTTAATGGGATAAGGGACGACTGGGGGGATGGCTCAATTATAAAGAGTTTGCTACATAAACATAGGAACCCAAATTCAGGCTGGTTGGTGGCGGCACACACCTTTGATGCTAACACTCAGAAGGCAGAGGCCAACCTGATCTACAGAGCGAGTTCCAGAACAG